CCTAAACCCCCTAAGCCCTAAACCGTAAACCCGAAACCCTAAACCGAGCCTTGGAGCTCCGGGGCGGATTTGGGGTGTTTGGAGGGTTTCGGGTTTGGGGTTTTTGGGGGTTCGGGGTTCGGGTTTAGTGTTTAGGCGCTTTTGGGGGTTTGAGGTTTAGGGTTTGGGTTTTTGCAGCGGTTCGGGTTTAGGGTTCTGGGCTTAGTGCTTGTGGTTTCCTAAACCCTAAACCCTAAACCCTAAACCCTAAACCAGGGAAGCTTGAGGGTTTCTGCCCTTTTTTTGACTTGAGGTGCCCCTGCCTGCCGGCCTCAGTGCAGCGAGCCCTCTGCGCTCTCTTCTGCGGGCTCTTCGCCTGCAACACCGTGGGGAGCCTCGGCAGTTGGGCAGCCTATGGCAACAAAGAGCGGTTTAGGGTTGAGGAGTCGGGCGGTTTGGAGGCTAAGTTCAGGGTTTCGGGGTCTAGGGTCTTTGGATCAGAAGGTGTTGGGTGGTAGTCTTATTGGTGTAAGACTGCTCGTAGTAGAATTTCAAGCGGTAAGAGCTAAGAAAGAAGAGAACATGTAGGGGTCGGAACTACCAGTGATGCTGATTAATGGTGTATTCCTCAGGGTTCCTTTTTCTAATCGTAGTATTGAGAGAGGCCGCAAAACCTTATTATAATATTAAAGCTCCCCCATTAGTAACAAGAAATGGAAGATGTCCGGGAAGGAGCTTATGTCAATCCACTGGCTCGTGCATCCTCGAGCTACAGCGGGCGTAGTAACCCTTGGGATTGCGGATTTTGGCATGTTGCATTAGGGGTTTTAGGATTTTGAGATTTTAGGATTGTAGTACTAGGGATTTAGCATTTTTGGGATTTGGGCTTGGGGAAGGGAGCCCCCAAACCCTGGAACCCAAACTCTAAAGCACAAGCTCCCAACCCGTTAGCCCCGCTACTGTCTGCAAATGGAGTCAGCAATCTGGCAGCTGTCTGTCGCAAAAAGCCAGGCCTCCTGTCAAAGGCAGGACAGAGCAGTAGTCAAAAACAAGGAGGCTCGAATCAGAAAGCGACAGACTGCACGTGGAAGAAGACATGCTACATAAGTTTAAGCCACAGTGATAGTAGAGATTTCTGCACCCGCACATGGCTCATCGCAGCCGGAATTCGGGACCTTTCTCCGCACCTGCCAAGGCGGGAAAGCCCAGTTTCGAAGGTTCGGTGCTTGCATTCCTAGACTACAACACGCCAGAAAGCCCCCAGAAAGCTCATGAAAAAGTAGTGCAAATTTGCACTACATTGTCACAAGCTGTAAGCGGTTCCCTCTGAGGTGTTCTGCTTCCTCTTTTGCCTGCGTTGGCCTCTGCAAAGAGGCCCGGTGTCATGGCTGGCCATCAAGCAGCTTCGCGACGGAGTTCCTGGCTCAACGCTGGTGAAATGTGCTTTGGGTATGATCTGGAAAAAAGCGAGGCCTGCCTCGCTGTCCTGCAGGCATCTGTTGATTTCCATGCTGAGCAGGGTAGTGATCTTGCGGCCTGCTGCTTCCAGTTGTTTGCAGACAAGTTTGCGGTCTTCCACCACCAAGAACAGCATCGCGTGCAGTTCATGGTGGACCTGCGCCACCGAGTCGCTGCCATAGGGAAGAAGTCCTATGGCACAAAGCAAAGCAGGGATTGGCTGTGCGCACAGGTCCAGTGAGGCGGAACTTTCCCTGCCTGCAGTACCCCTCTGTACCAGCTTGGGCTTCAAGCCGTCACCGCCCGTCTACGGGAAAAGGAGGAAAGTGAGACCAGTGTTTGTCCAATGTCCTGGAGGTCGCATGTTTCCTTGCTGGATCAGGTGGTGGCCCGAGGGACAGAGCAGGCGGGCGAAGCCTTCTTGTGCGGTTTGGGGCTGTGTCATTGCTTATTAAGAATGATAGGGTAGGGTGCTGGCTTCCGGTCTAGACCGCGCGCAGGCTGCACCGCAACACATCACCTCGACGATTTCGCCGGCCATGGAAAGTGGCGTTCGGGCTCTGCAAAGAGCCCTCAGCTCGGACAATCACATGCTGCCTTTGGAGGCGAGCATGCCTCCGGCAAGCTTCCTACCAGTGTGGTGAATGGAGATGACATGACATGTCTCTTTGGCTGACCCCCACTTCGCTGCCCGGCGACATGCCCTTCCACAAGGCAACGGATCCGTTACTATGGTCATCCGCCGACACCGCAAATCTTCTTGCTTTTCTTGCTGGGCGGCTGTCGGCAACCCGTGATAAGGTGGGGCAGGTGGTGCCAGATTTGCCCTTCTACGGACGGTTCGTGTGCTTGTCTCCTGTACGCACTGCTCCCGTAGCTCCGCAGGGGTCAGCACAGAGGCGTGAAAATATATTGAACAGAACGCGTTTGGCAAGCGCTTGTGACCAGCAAAAGCCGCATTGTGACCCCAAGTACCGCGCACCTGTGACCCTGACAGCTCGTTGTGTGTGGCCTCTGCGACACCAAAAAGATTTGATTTGCAGCGAGATGCTTGGATCCCGAGACTGCCGCATCCGTTGATGAGCCCGTGCCAGTAGCAAGCTTCCTTTGGAAATTTGAAATGGAGAAGGGCTTCTTGTGATGCACATAGGAACGAGAAATGCTCTTCCGCATGTGTAAGCTTTGCTTCGCTCCCCACTTTTCGGCTGATCAAACCCTCAACCCTAAACCGTAAACCCTGAAGCGAAGCAGCCTCTGAATTATCGAGCGGCCTGCAGAGTTTGATGTGTGATTGCTGAATCAAGTTTGCCTTTTGATACCGTGTTCAACGGGTGTTCAGCTACCCAGCAGCCTGCAGAGCTTCACATGTTTGGTTGCAGAGTTTGACGTTTGAGTGCTTTTGTTGCATGTTTGCGTAGCGTGTGCAGCAAGAGTCAGCTAGAGCTTGGAAGGAATTCAGCTAGCCAGCAGCCAGCAGAGTTTGATGTTTGCGAGATTGTTCCAGGGGAGCTAAACGGGCGTCCAACTGGCCAGCGCCTGCAGGGTTTGACGTATCGCGGTTTCTTGGACCAGAGCTTGGAGGGCATGAAGCACCGAGCCGCATGCAGAGTTTGACGCTTGGTAGTTTGCCAGACCAGACTTTCGAGGGCATCCAAATATCCAGCAGCCTGCAGAGTTTCGTTTGGCAGCTTCTTCAACCAGAGCTCAGAGGGCATTCAATTGCCCAGCGCCTGCAACACTGGCCAGCAGCCTGCAGAGTTTGGCTTGTCATTGCTTGTTCATGTTTGAGTACCGTGTTCGACTAGAGCTTGGATGGTATTCAACTACTCAGCAGCCTGCAGAGTTTGATGTTTCGCAGACGGTTCAACCAGAGTTCGGAGGGTGGCTTGTTCCATTGTTCAACCAGAGTCTGGAAGGCATCCGATTACCCAGCAGCCTGCAGAGTTTGACGTTTGGCAGGTTGTTCAACCGGGGTTCGGCAGTATGGCGCCCTCGAATGTGAGCGCTCATATCGCTGCCTTCGGAAAAAGACTGCCGTCGAAACGTAGGGCAAGTTTGCATTACACTTATTGGGGCAATCTCTTGATGTTTGCAGTGTCGGGCAGGGATGCCTCCGACAGTGGATATGAGCTTTTCTGACTGCGACTGTTGTGTTGACAACTTGTGTCCAGCCTAGCTATTTGCTGACCCTGCCCCTCTTGTTTTTGATTGTTTTGCTGACTCGGACCTTGCCCAGTCCTTAGGCACAAACCTTGAACCCTAAACCCTATCTGGGAGTACATGTTGCTGCAAAGCGGCAGTCCGGCGGTCTTTCGAGTTTAGGGTTTAAGTGTAGGATTTCAGGGTTTAGGGTTTAGGGTTTCAGGTTTCAACCGCAAGAATTGAAAGTACGGATATCGAAAGCCTATACCCGAAGGCCGACTTCAACCATGCACGCTTAGCGAAGACCGAAAGCGGCCGTTTCACGTAACGTCCAAGGAATGCGCTTGCGAAGACGAACTTCGAGCGATGCGTGTTCTTCCCGCTGACTCTGCTCTCGGCCGTGGCCTTTGCACGCCTGGCGTTGGATTGAAGGGGCTGCAGCTTCACTGTAGCAGCAAGACAAGGGTGGGTAGATGGTAGCCCCCTCACGACGGCTCATGTGCCAGGGGCGCAAAGATCGTTCTTGGCACATGGCAACCTTCTGCAGTCAGCTCAAAAGCTTCCACAAGCACCGTGTGTTCTGGGGTTCGGGATTCGGGTTCAGGGTTTTTTGACTTGGGGTTCAGCACAGATGGCAAAGAGGCTTTAGTCAATAGGGCTTTTTAGCCATTGTGTGGAGCTGATCCTTCAAGGAGCCTTAAACCCTGAACCTTGAAACCCTAAAGGAACCTTGAAAAAAGTTTTATTTTGTGACCACATGACCTGCAATTAGCGAGAGGACCACGAGTCGACTTATTCAAGAGATGAAAACCTTAATTCCACATCTCGAGACAACCGGTCCGCTGCAAGTTGCCGTGACCTGGTCTCTGATTTTGACCAGCATGTTTGTTTTTCTCGTCTCCCCCTCTCCCTCATTTCGCGCGTCTGTCTCTCTTCCTGTCTCTGTCTCCGTCTCTGTCTCTGTCTGTCTGTCCCACTCTCTCTCTCTCTCTCCCCCTCCCTCCCTTCCTGGTCCTCTTTCCATAATAGAAAAACGACATATGAGTCGGCTTGAGAAACGAACTTGTTTGGAATCTGTCCGATGGACCGGACCAACGGGGATTGTACGTCCGCGCCATTGTGGTCCAGCTGATCTTATCTTTTGCCCCGAGCACGCGATGTGCTTTCTGATTTCGGTTTGGGGTTCAGCGTTTGGGTTTTACTAGTGTATAGGTTTGAGAGGGCTTCGATGTTCGGCATTGAACTTTGACTTCAATTACTTGAGTTGACAGCACCACCAAGCGTAGTGTCTGCTCCTTTTGGCTCTGAGGCAGAGGTGCTTAAACTGGAGCCTTG